ACTTGTTAGCTAACAAGTTGTAAATTAAATTACTTTTCCAATAAAAGTTAAAACTATGGTGTTTTTTTTTTTGTAAGCAGTCTTAAAGATCCAACTTACCGTGTCAGGTTGACTTAACAGGAGGCAGCTGAAGCAAAGCACTAGGTGTATTCGCCGTGCTCTGCACTGGGTGAGGGCGAATGCCTGGCAGGGTCCCACCCATATCTGTGTGTCAGTCACACACATGGAAAGAACTGAGTTACAGGAAGGCACCCGGCAGAACAAAGAGCGTGGTTGCCTTTCCCATCTCATGACAGTCACTTCTCTGCAACTAAGTGGGGAATAAGGAAAGTGTTGAGTTTGTGGCTTGATCTGCTGTTTGGTAAGAGTTGGTGGAAGATTGCTCAGTGTGTTTTGGCTCTCTCCACATGGTTGTGTGACTTGATATGCAGGTTTGTTGCTCTCAGGAGCTATCAGAGTATGTTCCACATTTTTCCTTTTCCTGCCTCACAGGGCAAGCTTCCATGTGAAGACTCCCTTCTAGCAGGTGTCCTTTAGATATGACTTCATCTCCCCATGGAGGGAGACTTTATATTTGTCTTGGAGTTCCCATTCGAGTCCTAGAAAAACTCTGAAAGGAGTCTAAAGCTAATGGAAATCTCTTCTCTTGAGAAGTTTTGGTTATAAGAAGTCATCTAGGACAATAAGTGGAAGAGACATTGATTACGTCGAAAAAATATAGTCTGATTAAAAAAATTTTTTTTGACATTTTATTTATTTTTGAGACAGAGAGACAGAGTATGAGTGGGGGAGGGGCAGAGAGAGAGAGGGAGACACAGAATACAAAGCAGGCTCCAGGCTCTGAGCTGTCAGTACAGACCCCCCGTGCAGATTTTGAACTCGTGAACCCTGAGATCATGACCTGGGCCAAAGTCAGACGCTTAACAGACTGAGCCACTCAGACACCCCTACAGTCTGATTTATTGATGAAGAAGAGAGAACTTTGACTTGAGTATTCGGCGAGGTTAAAAAAAAAAGTACTCAGTGTAGCCAGTATTGTAAAAAGAAATAGAATAAATAATATTTGATAAATTGGGCAATAAATTGGGCGTGTTTATCAGGAGCTAAAATGTTGATTGGCACTGTGTAACTATATAGATGAAATTGTTGGTGGCATTTAAATATTTTGCAGCTGTGTGTATGTGTGACTGAGTGTGCAGGCACACATGTCTGTGTGTGCATGGTGAATATGGTGGGTAGAATTGAGCATATAGGTTAAAAAAAAAGCCATTGGGTTTTCTCCCTTAGAAACTGTGGATGTGATGAAGAACTGATTTATTTTTCACTTTTCAGTGGTGGTGCACAAATTTTATTCAAACATGATCCAGTTTCTACTTGCTATTCTTATAGAGAATTAAGGTTTAATTCCTAATCTTAGGTGGTGGGTAAGTGGGTCATTAACCCTGCTGTTTAATGGAGTCAGACTCACCAGCAGCCCCTTGACAGGTTTTCTCCCTTACAGCCCCTTTGATGTCCTGAACTGACAGTGTGCTGTGTGTGTTCAGGACTCACATTTTGCAATGTAGTGACACCTGATCATTTATTGAAGGTGAGAGTATTCTCATGAAGGTAGTGGTGTTTGAAAGCCTAAGGAAGCCGAGATCAGTCCTAGGAGCCCTCTGGAATTAGTGCCGCTCATTTATGGTGTGAATAGAATCCAGCTGCACGAAGGCACTGACTGTGGGCTGCAAAGTGAAGGGTGGTGATGGGACCAAAGACAACAGTCAGACCCAGCAATGCGCAGGAACCTAAGAGAGAAAAGCAGAGTTTTGAAAGAAATTGTTGACCTACTGAAAGCAAAAAGGAAAAGCCTCCACAAATGGTAGCTTCCTGGGACATGTGGGAGGTGAAACAATGAGCACAGCTCCCTGCTTTCTGCAGGGTCAAGGCTGTCCCTTGGCAGACTGGTGGTGGGGATGACGATGAACCAGGTCTGGGGCCACCTGCCTGTATGAGCCTCCTGCCTCTTTGGAGAACTTTGAATCCTTGGGGGTCTCAGGCTGCTTGTGGGGTGCCCAGGGTTCTGTTGATATGTACCAATATTGGGACAAGATTCATGCTCCAACATTTCCTCCTTCAAACGCAAAATTTACTAATCTAAAGACATCTCTGTTTTGAAAGTCTGCAAACTGCTCTAGGATGGGGCAACCAGTAAGTTAATTCTTCTAATATGTTAATTACCTCACCATTTACATTCTTTCCACAAACACACTATCTCAGCACAGTCAAAAGGCATGCTTCATTTTATAAAGACTTGAGAATAACTTTTCCAGCAACATGGAGCTGGAGGAGATGTTGGAGATAGGTCAAATCCAATCCTCCCATTTTATAATCAAGGCAAGAGAGACTCTTGAATTGAAACCACCCTATAGAGTCATACAACCATTTAGTGTCTGGGCAGAAACCAAATCCTGGCCTCTTGACTCTGCATCATATGTGGTGAGAATCAGAGCCACAATAGCATACAAGCAAGGGATTTTCGTGGTTTTTGTTAGCATATGGGTACTTTCCAAATCACCGAGACCCTGCTACGTGTAGGACGCTGTGCTTGGAGCTGGTAATAAAAGAGGGGTAAGATTTTGATCCCAATTTAGAGGAGAGACAGTAGAATATACTTAAGAAATCATTCACAATCCTAGGGAATAGATCTATTTTGATGTGTGGAGCAAAGAATTACCTCCTGAAAAACTGGGTCTCATACAACTCATATTTCCCTTAATTTTTGTTACCTCTGCATTTTACAAGTCAAATGTTATAAATTCAAGGGTCCACAAAGTGTGCTTGTTGCCTCTTTTTTTTTCTCCCTGAGGGTGATAATAAACTAATTTAAATAATTCTAAACCCTGACACTCAGAAGAAAATTGAAGGGCCTGTACCTGGAATACAGGTATCTCTAAGATTCAGGTTGTCCCAAAACTTAAGGAGGAATAGAATTGGTAAAATCGGGTTTTAGGCTTGACTGCAGAATAGGAACACTTGAGAAGTAAAAGGAAAATGAAGAAAATGCCAATTGAGCTGGAGGAAGAAAAGAATTTCCTTGGGAGAAAGACTGAAATCTTAGAGATCAGGCAAGACAGATCTGAAATATGTGGGCTCTGTGTTCCTTTTGGGACTGGACTTGGGAAGGGGGGATCTTATGATGATTAATAGATTGTTGAGTTGTTTGAAGAGCATGCCAGCTAAGTATGAAGATGATGGGAACACAAGGCTCAAATGGAAAGTGGACATTAAAAGTCTTTAAAATATGTGGAATGGACGCCGAGGGTGGGGGAAGAGAATTTCAGGTCATATCCGGATGCATGCAGGGACCACCTTGCAAATTTCCCTGTTTTGCTACATTGGAGGAGGTCGTTCGGAGGATGTGACCTTTGCTTGACCCGTGGGCTGGACCCATGCAGCCAGAGGCTCCTCCCACCTCCTGGGCCCTGGGAAAGTACATTCTGCCCGCCGCCCCCACCCACAGCTGTTCGCAAACAGCCCTCAGAGAGTAATGTGTTATTGAAATCACCTGGGCGCTACGCGTGACTGAACCCAGTTAAGGCCTCTATATAAACTCCTAAGAAGGGGGCAGGGGGTTGGGTGGAGGTTTAGTCAGCTTGTGGCTGCTCGAGTGATCCTCACAGGTAAGTTCTCCCGTTTGTCACCTGCCACTTACCAATCTGGCATGTTCGGGCTCTTTCCTCAGTTTCTCCCTGCCTTCTGACGGAGGTGGGGGCGGGGGCAGTTTCACGTTTCGCCAGGGAAGCTCCTCAAGTTTTGAATCCACATGTTTGAAGACAGGAGTGTCTCTCACGTCCTTGTGGGGGGGGTTACGGTGTGCACAGGTGAATTAGATTTCCGAGAAAGAGGACGCGGAATATCACGATTACTTTTGTGATGGCATAGTTCTCCTAATGTGATTCTGCGTTGTTGTAAATACTGGGTTTTGAGAGGATGGTTCAGTTAGGAGTAACTATGGTAGGGGCTGGTCATCTGTGTTTTCTACATTTTTTTTTGGTGCCTGGGGCTCTAAGGCTTGGCGTCGTTATTTTTTCCTGTTTACCCTGACTTTTTGGGCGAGTAGTTGAAGGGAGAGATGTGGGTTTTGTGAATTCAGCTTGGGAGGTGAGGAGGGAGCCCATTCTGTGAAAGTTAGGCTGTGGCTATGAAAGCAGGAGCCTGACTCTACCCCGGCCTTGCGGTGAGATTCTCTAAGACTAAGCGGAACAAGTTTGGGGATTAATTTTTTTCAGCTGCACTCTACAGGAGGCTTTTCTTTCCCGAGTGCACTTTCTCTCTGGATATTTACTATTTGAAGGAGTTCTTATTGTCTAAATTTGGTGCCTGTTTATATTGCTGCTGAAGGATTTGGGGATTTAAGCATGTCCTCTGTGCCCCTTGACCACTGTCTTGGGAAGCTGTATTAGTGCGGCGGGGCATAATTTGAGATGAGAAATAGGGAATGAATTTTGGTTCAGGGTGCAGTTTGGCCTTGAAGTTAATGTAATATATGTTCAGTGTTGGCCATCTCGGAGCCTTTAGGTACGAAAATCTTGTCCGCATGAGCCCAAAGAGATACATAAGGACCAGTAATAGGTGTAGGCAGAGAGGTCTCATGAAAGTGGAAGCAAAACTGTCCTGGGGCACCTGGGTGGCTCAGTTAAGCATCAAACTTCGGCTCAGGTCCTGATCTCGCGGTGTGTGGGTTCAAGCCCTGCGTCAGAGCCTGGAGCCTGCCTCAGATTCTGTGTCTCCCTCTCCCCCCCCCCCCCATTCTCTTTCTCTCTCTCTCTCTGTCAAAAAAACCCCATAAAACTGCCCTGATATCTTGTGGGTTTTCTTCCTTGAGAGAGCCAGGTATCTAATTCATGTGGACCTGGCTGTTCAGTGATGAGATTTTTGCGGGGATTGTGGGGTTCGTGGCATCCAGAGCTGACAGCAGAGAAAGAATTCTTGAAGACGTCTTCGGTGCAAAATGGCGATTTTATTAAAGCATGGGGACAGGACCCTCGGGCAGAAAGACCTGCCCCGGGACTATGGGGAGAGACTGGTTATATACTATGGACTTGGGGGAGGTAAGGTCCAAGGGAAGTTTCCAGAGGGATTTCCATATGCTAAAGAAGACTCCCAGGATACTGGAGGCCTAGCTGTTGTCAAGCTAAGGTTGTTTTTCCCTCTAACAGAGCATTAGCATTAACACAGCGAGTTCCTGGAGAAACTTTTGCTCTGCCAGCCTCAAGTAGCTGTCGATGGGCTGCAGGTTATAAGGAAATTCAATTTTATCTGCCATTTCCTTCTGCCTTTTTTTCCCCACATCACCAGCTCTGAGGGAAAAGGTTAAAGGGTGTGTGTGTGAGAGAGACCGAGTGAGAGAGACCGAGTGAGAGAGACCGAGTGAG